AAATGCTGAATGTTTTTGCTGCTGCTGTTGCTGTAGATGCAAATCGTGAACTAACTCAACAACAGCAAAACAGATAAGCAATTTAAGTAATTTGTTTATAAATGAAAATGTTTATGATTTAATTACGTTAAAGCAATTAAAACTGAACTTAAATTGAGAAAATAATTTATTTGAAAGGTTGTTAATTCATGGGTATTCTAAAGTACTAATATACTAGAATTTGAAATGGATTTAGAAGACCTTTGTAAATGTTATATGAAATTTTTAAGGCAGCTTTAGTTTTATGAAATGCGCTAGAAATTCGAACTATAATATATTATGTCTAATAAAAATATTTAGAAACTCTATACTCTTTATATAACGATCACATTTTGCGGTTAGGATGGGCGTGGCATTTGCATTTTGTATTTGTTATCTAACGCGGAAATGGATGAATAAATATACCCTATATCTAATGCAAAAGTCATTCACTGACAATCTCTGATACCTTGTAAAGAGATTAATTACATATTTCCTTATTCCTTGTACTACAATACAACGAATTTAAACATTATTTACATATTTCCTTATACAACAAATTTTTAAGTTAATTAATATTCAGGCACATCATATTCAGCTGATTTGAGCATTGCATTTGATTGTAAAATACTGAGGCCTCGGCTTAATTGCGTTCATAAATCAGATACGATTTGTACATTGTTGCCCTGGCGTGCCATGCCGGCTGTCATCGGCTGAGATTTTCCCTATTGCACTTTGTACTAAAGCGCGACAAGTGCAACATTCAGCCAATATACAACAATAAAACAACAATAGCAACAGCAAGCAGCAATTGCGAATCCAATCTTACACGAGTAGATTTCCATGTTCGTCATGGAATTTACCCGCAGGAATGAAACTAGGACAATGCTAAAGGCATTAAGAGCCATCTGTCACCCTGTCTGCACAATTGTTATAAAATTAAGCTTGGCATTGTGCATATATTATGAGTAAATATAAAGCCACAATCAATGCAAGTTGAATTCTTGATAAGAGCTTAAAAAAATGTCTTTAATAAATATTGAATTTCCTGCTTATATTTAACAATTGTCTGCGAATTGCAATTAATTGAATGCATTCTTAAAGTCAAACTCTTTAAATGGTAAAGCCACTTGAATAGCTGACAATTGGTGTGTGGGTGATACGGTCCGGTTTGGATACCGTGTAAACTATAAATATCTAAAACAAATTAAATATGCAGGCATTCCTAAAAATATACAGAACATGCTTTAAAAACAGCAATAGTAATAGTCGATATATATCGATTTTATAATATTTACAGATGTCAGGCGAAAGTAAATCTCAGGCTTTAAAAGCGAGAGGAATTGTTTAACATCGCACCATGAATATATATATTTTAGATTTAGTGAACAAACTATATTTTTATACTCTATATCTAAAGATTTATCTATTAAACGACCTCTTGATAAATACAAAATCTATTAAATATGGGGTCGGCTTTAAACAAACTTGTTTCGTTTTGTCGAGAAAATCACCAATAACGGGAACAATTTTATAGCGACGCTTTAGGCCAATTTGTAATTGGTCTATGAAAATTCGTAAAAAACAATGTGCAAAGCAAGGCCAGTTCCGTAAAATTGTTCATTGGAAATCAGTTAGCAGCGAAACATTGCAAACGGAAGTGTATCTACAGGTTAACCGAGTTGACAAGCTATTAATTGTAGCTGGAAGGCGAGTCAACAACAGCGCCAACAATTGACAGAGACAGAGAGACAAGACGACGGACAGACTTTCAGTTCGACAGACTCAACAGTTAGAAATGGGAATGCAAACAAAGCCTCATTTATAGCAGAGCAAACTTAAATGTTATATATAACGTAGCTATACTGTACTATATAGCTTCAAAACTGAACTCGTGATTTGGCCGCGCCTTCATATAATTGGCTATCTATACAGATACTTATCTAGCTATCTATATAGCTATACAGTTATAAATATATATATATA